CAAGCTTTTTTTTGTTTTTTCTCTCCAAAATGTTTCCATTTAACAGAATTCTCCATAAAAGATGAAATAAACGTAGATCCAAAAAATGAGAAATCGGATGACGGGGTCACCCTAATTAAACTGTATGCAAGAAGAGTTTCTATAAGCTTTAAATGGACTAATCTTTAAAAATATCAAAATGGAATACTCACAAATTGACAAATCCTTCTATTGCAATCATCATGCATCCGATTCTTGAATCCTAACACCATTTCAAGGTGCCATCATCGAACACTATAAGTTATATTTTAATTGGTTTTTCCCTTACATTTTTACATTTTAAACACGATAATTTTCACAGTTTCAACATAAATTTTTACATTTATAATAAAAGAAAAAAGAATGCCAAAAATATGCTTTCAAGCAAAGCCTGAAAGACTAAATGGGAAATGAAGATTGTATTATGTGGCTCAAAAGGCAAATCATTTCTACTATTATTGTTCCTTTAAAAATTGTAGGGTGTTTGTTAGTATGTTTAATTAATTCTGTTTTCACTAGCCTTTTCTCAATACCCTTTCCGTCTTATTTTTTGGGATACTTTCAGTTTGTTAAGCTAAAACATTAAAATAATAATATACTATATACTCCCTCTGTCCTAAAATTATTGTCCAGTTTGAGATTTCATTTTTAGTACAAATTACAATAAAATGCGAATCAAGACTGGACAATAATTATGGGACAGAGGGAGTATATATATACATATATATATATTAAATTGGGACAATATATCACTCAGTATATCGATCGCAAATTAAAGTATGGATAAGGCCTTCTGTTAATGCTTTTATTAATGTTGTGTTTATCTGCCTCTGGCAAGAAATTGCAAGCAATTTACACGGTCAACTTGGTCTCAAAACAAGAAATAGATATCTTCAGTTTGTTTGAGAACGAGTTCAAGAGAAGAAAAAAGCTAATCCGATTTTTATTTTTATTTTTTTGAAGAAAAAGCATGAACAACGACTCGAGAGGGGGACCTGAGGTTGATTTAGAGATTGACCTGTAATTCCTGTAAAGAACCTTTAGTCCTTCGGTGTCTGTCTTCGTTGTTTTAAGCTTAAAACGCATTCTAAGAGACGATGTTTGAAAAAAAAAAAAAAGAGTTTGAAAAACATATGACTAGACAACACATTATTGACAGCCATCGGCAGAGGCCATAGTCATTTGGCAAGTGTTTAGATGTAATAATGACATAATTCATCCCGAAATAATTGTCTAGTTTAACATCAAATTAAAAGTTAGGTTTGTTCTTATTAAAGTAGAAAAGTTTCTAACAAATTAACCATTATTTATTTTCTTGCAAATTACCAGTTTAATATCATACATACATTTTTTGCTTTTTTTTTTCACAGAATATCATAGGAATTTAATTGATAAAATATTTTGATTTATATTATATGCCCCCTTCTCGTCCAAGATTTATAAGACGAAATTTTAAACTAAATATGTGATTTCAAAATGTACATTATAGTTAGGACTCAGAGAAAATATACGAATTATGCGAATACGATTGGGTTTGTGATACAATGGGTAAGGTTGGTTTTTTTTTTTTTTTTAATTTTCTTTGATTGAGCTACAGTTTGAGAGAGGACAAAATAAACTTATTCGAAATGTTTCATCAAGTTCGACGAAAAATATATTCTTAACCAAAGAGCTGGAGAAGACTTGGGGTTTGACCCGCACTTTGTTTCTTGGTTGTGAAAGAAATCTTTGGATACGTACGTTGTTTCTTAGATGTAAACTGCATGCGTGTTTTCGTACAATTGCAGATCGGTTGTCATATATAATACACTCCTCCCGTCTGAGAAAACTAATTCACATCGTAAACTATAAGTTATATTAAAAATAATACAATTTTTAATTTATAATGTGATTTATTTATAAGATAGAGTCGGTATTTGTTTTGTTAATTTTTAAACTAAATTCATTTTCAATGAATGAGACCGAACGGAGAATAAATTAATCGTGAGAAAGTGGTAGAGAAAGCTCATACAGCATACAAATATTAGTTTGTACGTAAACTCTAAAAAAAAGTAATTCATATTGAGGATGAGAGGATTGAGTGAGATGATAAGCGATAATTCGAAAGTCATGATACTCTCTCATTGTCATTCACTCATTCCTTTCACCCGAAAAGAAACCTTACTCTCTCATTGTCATGCACTCAGTCCAAGCTATTAATTTGCCTTTAAAAAAACTTTCCTCGAATAAGGATGGGGGAAGGGGGAATGCCAATCCATTGGTACACCAAATAATATGCAAGCGTGTTTAGCCTTAAATGGATTAAGCTTTAAAAACAAGTTTTATATATATATATATATATATATATATATATATATATATATATACATCAAAATGGAAGACCCACCAACCAATCGAGAACTCCTCCTAGGAAATTATCATACAACTCCTAAATTCTAAATTCCTAACCCACGCCACAAGGAGCCATAATTGACTCGAAAAAAGATATCTATCTATTGTCAAAAGTCACTTATATAGTATGTGTGTGTCACACTGCAGGAATTATATTTTTTAGATTACAGGTTGTTTTGTTAGTTTTTTGTAATGAGATTTCTCTTTGTGATAAGAGAAAATAGTTGCGTTACAGTTTGTAATCTCTCGTAGGGAAATATTTTCACAGTAATCTTGAAATATTCAATTATCATTTCAGTTTGGAACGCATATGGGTTGCACCTATGGTGTTTATTTATATTAGGGCATTAAAGTTTGAAGAAAATTAATATATTCCTTCTAATCCGAAATTATTATCCAATTTAGAAAAAGATTTTTATTTTCAGTATACATTGAATTAAAGATAAAATTCAAACTGAATAATAATTTTGGAATAAAAAGAGTAACGTCTTGAGATGAGATCCAAGATTCGAAGCACTATACTGCTAATTAAATGTTATTTTGGTTCGCGACGCGGAATTAGTTTTCCATGAATCATAATGGCAAATGAGCATTGAATGGGATATACCAAGTTTGAACTTGGTCATTCCGATTGTCATTGATTGAAATGAAATGATAATTAAAGTTTGAGCATTTTGGATTTGGTTCTTACGTAGTAGATATTTTGGTTTTCTTTTCTTATAAATTAATGTTACGCTTTATTGAATTAAGACAAGAGTGAACATCAAAACGGGTCATTGAATTATTAGGTAATTTTATCAATCAAATTTATTTGTATAATAGGTCACCTTACCAAGCAAAAAAATTCATCCGAGATCATTCTGTTAATTTTGGTCATTAAATAATGACAAAAATTCACTTTTCACATGCTTTTGGATTCAATGGTATTTTTGTCGTTTTGTTATTTTTAAATTTTTATTTTTTTAAAACAATTTATTTTTTTTACTTTATTTTTTTTTTAATAATTCTTCTTCTTATACTTCCTGACATGTATATGCTGGTAGTATAATTTTTAAATTTTAAAAATTAATTTAAATTTTGTATTTTAACTTCTAGACTATAAATTTTTTCCCCTAATAGAAGTTGTTTCCCTTAGGTTATTCTAGGAGTTAAATCGTGACAGAAAGCTATTTTTGAAATGGTAAAGTATTAATTTTCATGTTTATTTTAACTCAAATATTTCTTCTTTATTTCTAAATTTTTTTTAAAAAAATTTATAATCTAGGAGATAAAATACAAAATTAAAATGAATTTTTGAAACTTAGAATTATACTACCAATATAAACAAGTTAGGAAGTATAAGAAGAAGAATTTTTAAATAAAGAAAAATAATAATAATTTTTTTCAAAAAGTAATAAAAATTTAAAAATAACAAAATGACAAAAATACCCCTGAACCCAAAAGCATGTGAAAAATAGATTTCCGTCACTATTTAACAGCTAAAATTAACATAATGATCCCGGATGAATTTTTTACTTAGTAAGATGACCTGTTATATAAATAAATTTGATCGATAACCTACATTAGAATTATCTAATAGTTAAATGACCCGTTTTAAAGTTAATTCTTAAAACAATGTCACTATTAAGATGAGTCGAAGTACATATATTTGCATCAATTTTGTGGTTATAACTTATAACTAACATTTTATTAATTGTCAAAGGTACTATATGCCACAATAGATGAATCGATTCCTCATTTGGGTCTCATTCCTGATCAGTTGGCCCTGGAAAAAGGTCTATTAGAACTGGGATTCTGGGAATATGTTGAAAGTTTGGAGGGTATGAAATATAAACTAAAAATCCAGCTTTTGCGACAATGGCAATTTAAATGGAAGCACAAGCAAAATAATGTTCCTAAAAGAAACAACATCAAGCCGTTTCGTGCATTTTTAAGTAGGTTTGTTACTCTTAAAAGAACACCCAAAAGTACTTAGAATATGTATATTTTACCTGGAAAGATTGCTGCAGTTCTGGCATTTGGTATTCCTAAATGAAAAAGAAAGATTCAGACATTTCAAATAAAATAAGTAAAAGGTAACAAAACATTGAAAAGCATAGCCAAAAGTTGATCCTTTTTTAGATCAAGTGTTTTTGTTCTCACAAATAAGAATGTTATGGTTAAGTGATTCAGTGACTGTGACCTACAAAACCTTAAGCTCAAGAGCTTGCATATGTGGGGTTGCATTAATTGATCTAAATCACATTAAAGAAAAAGAAGAAACAATGCTTGAGATTTAAGTAAATTAACTTGAAATTGGCCCTACTTACTACTACTTGAGTATTAACACATTGGAAATCTCTGTAAGGCTTCCATATGTCTTCTAAAGCTAGTGGCAAATAGCATGTGATCAGCTTTGATCATGATCATGATCCTAAATTATATGGTACAATAGTTTTTATTCATTATAACTTTTTTGCATCCGGGAATCGTTATGATTAATATCCTTCTGCTGCTGGAAAAAAGAGTTCAAACCAGATGCATAATTGGCAATCAAGTGCCTATTTCAAAGTACTGTTTTATTGCAGGAACCAAGTCAGAGAGTTTGAACTATGACAAATGAGATGGGCAACCAAAATACATCTGGAATAAAAGGTATGTTCCCCTAAGTTGCTTCTTGTGTTTGATGAATACTGTGAAAATGATAATGCACTACACTATACACATCTTTTCGACGAATGCACTTATTAATCTCGCGATAATTGTAGCATTAGGTCATTGTTGCATTCTGAATTATTTGATTTTCATCTTACTGTATTGTTGTGGTTGCAGAAGAGGAGAAAGCAGCAGTTGAAGTTCCAGAAGGAGCCCAAGTAGCTGATTTTGAAGATGAAGCGACGGAAGAGGGAAACAACATAACTTCAGAAGATCAAACTGAAGGTTCCAATGAGAATGCAGAAGATTTGCCTTCTCCTGATATACCATCTGCTAGAGATAGTAGAGCTGAAATACAGGAGTCAGATGAAAAAGGTGGTCTTTTTTTATGCTCAATGCTTTAAACTTGTCTACATTTTAGTCTTCAATGGTTCAATGACAGTTTTTATCATTCATCCATGCCAGAGCCAGTAGGTAAGGAATCTGAGTCTGATAAATTGCCGGAAGCACCATTGGAATCGAACAATCCAGTTATCCTAGAATCTGACAAACTTCAAATTCATGACCACCCTATAGGAGGTCAGTTGCCTTAGTAATTGGAGAATTATGTATCTGTACCTTGCAAAGTTGTAGTACAGGATCATGAACATTTCTGTATTTATATTCAAGTGTTTTTCTTCCGGGAGAGAGGACAAGTCATATTAAATATCTATTTTGATTTGCCAGGAGCCATTGAAGTACAGGCTGAAACAAATAGCTCATTCTCTGAAGCTAAATCAGTTCGAGATTCGAATCCAACAGATGATTCTAATGCATCACTAGAAGAGCGTCCAAATTTATCATTACAAAATGGTGAGGTAGCAGAGAAATTGAGCGGAACATATAGTACAAATGATAAGGAAAAGAGAGTAGACTACAAAAGTACAAATGGCAATGTAGTTGATCTGAAGTTGGAGGATTCTGTTTTTCAAGAAGAAAAACCTTCAGATCAAATAGAAAAATGTGAGAAGAATGAAATTGTACTTAAGAATGGTCATCTTGGAAAAAATGGAGATGTTGAAATGCCCCTGAAAGTGAACTTACATGACTCCACAGTTTCACAAACTGAAACAGTTCAAGGGATTGGTCCACAAGATCTTTCATCAGCATATCCCGAACCGCAAGAAAAGCACATTATTCAAGCCAAAGAAGTGAAGGCAATGCCTGTTGAATCAGAAGATGGGCAAAACAAGCCTGATTCTGACCACGTTCATCAGCCATCCGATCTGACGGTTAACCAATTGGATGAAGCCACTGCATCAACAATGAATGGAGATGGAAATACACCTAGTATGAGTTCCGGTTCTGATTGGGAAAAGGCTCTACCCACTGACGGGAGCAAAGCAATCAGCAATGATACTGGAGGGATCTCAGTAGACAAGGAAAATGTCTCAGGACATGAACAATACAGTAACACTGAAGAAACTGTTGTTCTGCCTGAATTAGTTTCAATGTCATCAAATGAATCTGGAGCCTCAGACAAGTATGAGGAGGAGGCAACAGAGAAATACTTCGCGGGAGAAACTGAAAAGAGAACACAGGAGCCATCCTCAACAAAGAAAACTACACGAAAAAGAAGAACATCGCAGAGTTTCCAATCATTTGGAGGGGAAAATGAGCTGGTTGCAGGGTATCATACTTCACAAATGAACTCACAAAATGGCCAAGAAGCTGTTTACTTGGCTCCATCATTCAACTCCCTATCAGGCAATCAACTTTTGACAGGCTCTTTGCCCGCTGAGCATGAGCATAAAATCACTGTCAGCTTGAAACAAGACATCAGTCATGAAGTCCTGATCAATGAAATATCCACTTGCAATGTACAAAATGCCTGTTTAGATACTCCTAACCATTGCCGTAGTGTCCAGGTCACGACAGTCGAAGAGTCTACATTGCTGATAACCTCGAAAGCACAAGAGAATACTGCAAGGCTCAGTATAGATTCGAATCCGGATCATCAGAATCAAAGAGTTCAGATCATCAGAAGATCTCCAAGCTTTGAATTTGGCCTTCCACTGGATGCCAGGTCCGAAGAATCTGATCAAACTCCTCTGCTGGTTCGCGATAAGTCTCTCGCAAGAAGCTTTTCAGGCAGTGCTGGTGTAAAATTTCAGAAAACCATCCTTCCATCTGATCAGCAGCGAAAATCTTTAGACTATGAGCCGATACAAGTGGAAGAAAAGACCATAAGAATGGAAAGAAGCACTTCTGACGTTTCAAGAGATTCGTTTATGAAGTTCTTGAAAAAAGATGGCAGAGCTAGTACTGAGCAAGCATCAGAAAAACAGGATAGCAATGCTGCTGATCAGAATCAATTGGAGTCACCATCAAGGGAGCTTCCATTAACTTCAGTGAAAACAAATGGACGGCGCAGGCCGAGATCTTCCCTCCTCAGTGCCTGCATTTGTTGTTCAGCAGTCATTCACTGATGATCAAGCAACAAAACATACATTTCTCTGCTTGCTGATTTTTTTTTTTTTTAATTATTTCTTTCTTTTGGTGATTATTTTCATGTTTTGCAATGGATTTTATCTCAGAGTTATGAGCAGAAATTCTGAAAGAGTTTTTACATCAATTTCAACACATTTCTGAGAGGTTGAAACTTTAAAGAATTGAGAAAAGGAATATGGTTTGGAGGATTGAATTTTTTATTGTTTCCTTTTGTATGAATTTCTACCATCCTTGACACAAAGGGGTTCAATGTCCTTCATCATCTGTCCTGTTTATGAAATGATTTTTTATTTTTTGTGGAATGTAAGTACAATAATGAAATTAATGTTACAATTATAATGATTCATATTTCATGGTACATTTCAATTAAACATAATTATTAAAAAAGGACTAGAATCACATTTAGCTCAATCATTCTTCCAAGAATAAAGAAAGAAAAAGTACACAAACTGATAAAACCCTTACTACATTTTCCTGCAGCAGCGAGGGATTTTGAATTCGTTGCTGCATAATATCTTTGGAAAAATGTCTTCAGCCATTCTGAATGCAGGTAATTGCAGAATTATGACAGAACCCATGAAGAATTCGACCATGGCATTATGAAATTTCGATTTTTGCGGCAATCATATTCACAAACCAGGCAAGTTTTTTGCTTTATTCATTTTTGCCTTCTGGTATTGCATTCTCACACTATTTCTAGGAAATCCATGTAGATAAAGTCATCATCTTGTGCATTGGATTTCAAGTTGGTGAGATGAACAAGTTATATTGGGAAAGGAGATTTTGTGCTAGAAATGCAGAAACATGTTCTAAGATGTCTTTTAAAGATTATGTGCCTTTTACCTGTTAGAAACGTTGCTATGGCTAGCTACCTTCACTTTGTTTTGTTTCCTTAAATTTTTACTTAGAATTCTCTGGAGTGAAGAGTTAAACTTTTTATCTTTTTGGAGGGTAAACAAAAGTGCATTGGAAAACCCAAGTAAAATTACTTACTAGCCAATACAGAGAAAATAAAAACATGGTGTGCTGCTCGTAGTACATATAGGTGTTCTGGTCAATACCTAATCGAAGGAATAAAAGTTGATTTTAGAAACATAAACAATTAATGGATTTTCTTGAATGCGGTGATAGGGAGAAATAAAAATGAACAAAACCCATGGTTTAGTTGCAAGTTGTTTGTTAAATGTAACCCTTCCCGCCATACTTGTGTTTTAGCAACTTTCGTTGCTCAATCTGTTCACTCCTATTTACTCTTTTATCATGTCGAGTACAACATCGAAATGGTTTTGTTCCTCTTGCTTTGCTTTTCTCATCAGAAATTCGGGAAAAGTATCAGCAGACATGGACAGGGATCCTGAATTTCACTGTAAGAGTAACGGCTACTTTTCTTTATTGAAGTTGAAGCTTGTATGGCCAATTATGCTGCAAATCCTGAAAGAAACAGGAACATTGACCAGCAATCTGGAGGGCCATTGGGACGAGCATATTGTTTCTTGAAGCCAGAGTTCGATTGATTGTGAGTTGGGAGTTGCAGTGTCTGGCAGTATAGAGCAACTTTCCAAGGATTGGTTTTTGTTGAACTTGCTTGTGCAATCCATAGGTGAGCCGAGTGATGCAGATGAACTTATGCAGCAAGACGGCGAATTTCTGTCTTGCAGAAGATTAATGATTTGGTTTATGAGATTGATGAGGAGATTCAAGCTTGTGACTTTGATTCGGCAGCCCTAAAAAATTGTCCATCTTGCTTGGTGATTTCCAAAGAAAGAAGATGAGCTTTTGAAGTTTGAAATTAGAGGAGCTCTGGAGCATTTGTCACATCTCACATTTCATGTTCACAGTCCTACTTTTTCTTTTCGGGAGATCTCTATAAGTTGTGTAACAGAGAGTCTGCAGTCAATAAAGGATGATGAGAATGTTTGTCTTTATGAACAATTGATATGGTCTGCCATGAGCTACAACTTATCCAGAGGTATCTTTTGCGCGGTTGGAGAGATTCCTGGGATTTCAGATCACTGTATTGCTACTTGGTGCTGCATCTGTGGTAGTCTTGTGATTTCTGGTTCAACAGGAAGGACACTGGAACGTCAAGGATTAAGGCTACTGAACTTCTAGACAGCATCAGATTGATCCAACACATGGAGAGTTCATGAGGTTGATTATTGAATCCCAGCAATTTCTCTACCAAAAGACTGGACAAAACGATTAGGTATTTACTTTTGTCGCTAATTATCAGTTCTTGCAGAAATGAATATGTTGAGAAAGAGCTGGAGTCCCCGTTTTTCATTTTCCTCAGAAGTCCGCTTTGGCTAGATTGTTATGATGTGAGTTCCTTAGTTACAGAGATTATTTGCATCTTCTCAGAGGTTGCATTTCTCCATCGCGCAGCCTACCAAAAGAATGAAACGGATTATTTGCTTCCTGTTCTCATTTATGGGGTCAAATTTAGAATTCTGAAGACTGAGTTTCAACTCAAGGAGGAAATTGGTGTTGTCTCTTCCTCAGATCTCTCTGTTGGTGAGAAGAAACTCAAATATTTGGAGATTTTGTACTTGACACTTCATTGACTGAAGAGATACGTCAGCAAGTTGAAACATACTGGAAAAATGAGGAAAGTTGGATGTTATTAGAAAAGAAGATATTCAAATATGCAGGTTGCCCCGGGGAATTGCTGGTCTCCTCAACAAGGGAGAAAAGACACGGGAGTGGTGGGAAAATATCTGAAACTGTGCTCACAGGTGAGTGACGATCCAGAAAATCAGTGCAAGAAACCTTAGAACTGAGCTATGAGCACTTACCTGGTATCTGAAACCATGCTTCCTTTATTTGGGAATTTTTCGGAGGATAGAGATATTCCAGTAAGCAGGTTGGCACAGTTTTGGATGGCTCATGGATTCTACAGGACTTGGAAGATGTTGAATGAGATTACTTGATGGAGTTGATTTATAGAAGCCTAGTAATCGTTTCCATAACAAGATGCAATGGAAAGGTCAAAGCATGTCGGCTTCATGATCTTTTGCATGATGTGTGTCACTCAAAAGCAAAAGATAGAGAATTCTTTAATCTGGTAACCAAGCATGATGAACCATATGCCTTTTTCCATGCATTAGAGTATGGTATGGAGTTCCATAGAAGCCTTAATAGGATCCTGCAACATTTGATAGCTACGGATTGGGTATGTATTTGATGGAATCATTTTATTAATTCAAGGCCTCCGGGCCGAGAACCAGATCGTTGATATCCTTTGCATCTGCTGGTAAAGATCCCAGATGTCCTTATGAGATATCCTTCATTTGTAGCCACTTCAAGTTTCTTAGAATCCTGGACTTAGAATGTATCAACATGAAAACTAGTTTTCCTGTTTGGACAAATGGTATAATTGAAATATTTTGCTGTCAGTGGTTATCTGAAGTGTATACCACCATCAATAGCGTACCTACCTGTGGAGACTAGAGACTTTGGTGGTGAATGGATACCAGGGTACAGTCATCTTACCGAATGCTATATGGAGCATGACAAGAAAAGGTATCAGTTTGCTGGATGATGATGAACAGGTTGGATGTTCTTCTGATTTGGATAATTTGGTCAGCTTTTCCAATCACTCTTTGTTGTGGCGACAATACAGTCGACATATTTGAGGAGGTTACCCAATCTCCGCAAAATGAGATGCATATTCTTGGAGTCATGGCATTCCTCCAAAAACTGCAGTCAGTTCCCAGTGTTGGAGTTTCTAACTCAGCGGGAGTCTCCAAGTATTATTTACTATGGTGCAGCTCTTAACTCAGGTGAGTTCATTCTCCCACTGAGTCTCAAACAGCTGACCCTGTCAAAATTTCGGCAACCATGGAGTCATATTTCCAGGATTGGAGGCCTGCCAAACCTTACAACTCTGGTGCATTTGAAGGGCCAAATTGGGAAATGAACAAAGATGAGTTCAAGGAACTCAGGTTCTTGAAGTTGAACACTCTGAACATTGCTGAATGGAATGCCTCGTATAATCACCTTCCTAACCTTGAAAGATGGGTACTTCAGAACTGCAAAGATTTGGAGGAAATGCCCCTGGAATTTGCATATATTGCTACATTGGAAACAATTGAAGGGCAATGGTGCAGAGACTCTGTACAAGAGTCCGCCAAAAGAATTGGAAATGAGACGAAAGAAATCAAAGTCCGAATTACATATAACTGAATCACTATCTATGGTATTCTGCACTCTCAGTGAGTAAGTTTATTGCATTGCTTTTCAGCAAGTTTATTGATTTTAGTGTTGCATCTGTCATATATTTCAATCTCATACGAGTTGCTGGAACATTTTAGCACAGAATAGAGAATGGATTGTTCTTTGTTTCATTGTAGCCTCTGAACTTGCTGATCTCTAATAACACCAGAATTTCCAACCTGAGTGAAAAGTGAAAACACTGAATTTGTAATTCTTGTATCTCCGAGAATGCTGTATTTTCTGCGGATTTCCTTTTTCAGATGCAAACAAATTAACAGCACCGCCATTTCCACAGCAAAACACTCGCTTCATCAAATGCTTTATAAGATTGTCTTTTTCAAGGCTGAGTCATTTCTAGCAGAGCTACTGAAGAATGGTGAAACTTTAACAGCTCATGAAAGAGATCAAATTGAATCTCTTGTGGAGGAACTTAAGAATTTGAAGCCAATTCTAACAAACCAGTTGGCCACGAACACCCCTTATGAAGAAATGATCTTCATTGAATTTGAAGCAGTTGCTAGGAGGATTACACTGTTCTATCACTCATTCTTCCTGACATAGACAAGTTCAAGAAAATTGTGCTTTTGATACCACGGTTGTTGCATAAGGTGAAAGGTATCACGGAAAAGCTCAAGAAGGTGAGTTCCCAATTTCCAGTTTCTTATTTCCCGAAGGCTTGCACTCAGGGTTTTATTGATTTTCTGGGAAAAAACATAAAGGAGTTGCTGAAGTATGATCCTAAGTCAATTGAACCGGTAAAGAATCATCTCAAGGAGGTTCAACTACATTTAAAGACATCGAAGTCTTTCCTCATGAAAGTTTCAGATTCAAATGTTGAGCAGGGAGAGTTAAGTCATTTTTGTGATCGCATCAGAGATGTAGCATATAAACTGGAATACATTGTTGAATCGTTTGAATTAGATGGTTGTTGGCAGAATTCATTATGGTTATATTTTCTGCTTGAGGATCTTAGACTCGTTAATCAACAAGTCTCCAAGTTTCCTGGGGAGTTCTTTCCTGGAAAATCTCAGAATCTCTCTCAGATTTCACGTGAGATGGAATCAAAGGATAGTATGTATGTGGTCAATGAAATGGTGGTGAATTTGAGTGATGAAGAAGAAGTCATTATTGAGCGACTCACCAGAGGATCCTTACAGCGTCATGTTGTTTCTATTGTTGGCATGCCAGGTATTGGGAAGACTACTTTTGCTAAAAGAGTTTACAACCATCAAATTATCGTTCATTACTTCCATCGTCGTGCATGGTGTAATGTTTCACTGGCATACTCAAAGAGGCAATTGCTGCTTGAAATTTTGAGCGGTATTCATGGGCTTACTGATGATATTCATCGAATGTGTAATGAAGATCTCCAGGAAAAGCTGCGGCGATGCCTGATGAAGTACAAGTATCTCAGAGTTATGGATGATGTATGGGACATTGCAGCCTGGCATGATTTGGAGAATTCATTTCCAAATGACAGTAATGGAAGTAGAATTCTGATTACAAGTCGTCTTCAGGATGTGGCTGCAAAAATTAAACCTGATAGCGATCCATATTCTATTAGCCTACTGTCTGATGAAGAAAGTTGGATACTGTTGGAAAAAAAGGTGTTCAGAGGAAAGCCATGTCCTGAGGAACTGTTATTGGCTGGGAAGGAAATTGCTCAACATTGTAAAGGATTACCTCTTGCAGTTGTTGCCATAGCTGGTCTTCTTCAAAAGACAGAAAAGAGACAGGAATGGTGGAAAACATTATTAAAAAGCTTAAGCTCAGTGATAATCAAAGATCCAGAAAACCGGTGGATGGAAATCTTGGAACTGAGCTACAATCACTTACCAGAATATCTGAAATCATGCTTTCTGTATTTTGGGCATTTTTCTTGAGGAGACTCAACCACTAACCTTAAGGAAAAAAAAAAAACAAACCAAATTTGAATGCATCAAACTATGAGATTAGTATAATCATCAGAGTATTTATCTCATTTATATCTTAAACATAGACACTAATAAGGTTTAGATTGCCCTTCAACGGGGAATTTTCTTTAAAAAAAAAAAAGTGCACCTCCAGTGTACTCAAACAAATTTGTCCCAAAAAAAATCATAATGATCATATTAACCAAAAACAAATTTGTACCTTTTAATGCCATTACTCCTATATTTTTCGACAATTTTTATTTTTATGCAAAATCATACCGGACAAATTTTATAACCCGCACAAAATTTGTATACATCACATTTTCTTTTCTAGTTGTGGAGCGTTATAATTACTTTCGAAATTACCAAAAAAAAAAAAATCAAGAAAGTTTTGACCGTTAACCTCCTCTCTTCTCCCGCCGGCCCAAAGAAGAGGAAAATAAAACGAAGAAATCCTATCGCTAATAGGAAATCATCCCCTCTTATTAGAGCAATGGGGAAGCAATTGACAAACTGACCGGACCGTTGTTCCTTTACGGACGGATTTTGCATTAATAATTAAAGTTCTTCTATCACCGGTTCCTAATTGCCGTTCTTGAAAATTTTCAAAGTTTTATTTGATTGATTGTTGAGATGGTGATTTATAAAATTGAGAATATCCCATGTTCAATCACGCTAGACCCAGATCAAGTTCTTGATGACAGCGGCGAATGGTTCCATGGGATGATTCAGTTGGAGAATTTACCGAGACAGTGGCCGTTCGTCGGAGCCCTGCAACCAGTGTTGTTATGCTCGGACCGGACCGGCCAGTTGAACCGATTAAACCGGAAACCGGACCTCATACTGATCCGAGCAGCATATAAAATCGCAGATTTGAGAATCGGTCAAACTCGGTCCAGATTTCGAGCGAACCGTGAACCGGACAAAACCGGGTCGACCCCAGTTTTTACATTTTTTGGCTGGCTCCACCAATTTTTTTAACTTTTGACGTGATTTTTTTTTTTTGTCGGCTTCCAGACTTTTGATAGGGTTTCCCGTTCCCCTTTTTCCACTTTCTGGCATTTTCATTCATTTACAGTGTTCATCTCTTTTTGCTTCTCAAATTTTCTCACATCGCCGCTTTACTCACTTCTAAATCGATCCACTCAAAACTCATCCTTTTTAATTTTTTTGTTCGATCAATCGCCGATCTATCATCACAGAGTGTTTGCAGGCGGCATTTGCTACTTTCTTGCTATTTTCAACTTCTATAGACAAATACTCTAGAGCCATGCTAATCCTTAGAGTAAGTCGTAACCAATGAAGAATTGGCCGCATTAACCCTGTGGTTTTCGCCGTTTCGGAGATCAGTGCCTTGGATTTGGAAGGTAAGGAGTAGATGTATGAAAAAAAAAATTTTCACCTCCTTTGTCTATGAAATTTTATAAACACATCTTCGAATACGAATCAGAAGTTTAACTTAATATGAACAAAGAAGATTAAGAATTAATTAGCTTTTCTTATCCTGGCAAAAAAAAATAAGAAAATAAAAATTCCACATTACTCTGCATTCAGACCCTTTAACCCATCTTCCTAAAGTTATTTTCTTCGTAAATTCTGATGGGAGCTACAATTATGCATTAGATTGTGGAAATTTGCATGAAACAAATGGCGGCCGCCTAATTAGTGGGTTATCTTCAAGGCTCAAAACATATCTTCAATTTGGAGTTAGTCAGTGGGCTATGGGCTACAACTGTAGGGTGTGTTTTTTTCATTGTTTATATAGGTTTAGTTTTATAATTTTTTTTGTACAAATTTATTTTAGCTTCTCTTTTTTTGGTTCACTTTTTATAAATTTTTCTACTTTTGTCTTCATGAAATTTATTATTTTGATTTGATTAGGCCATATGACATCTGGTGTGGAGTATGTGAATCTATGATTGCAAAGGGTGTGCAATTCAATGCGGAGAAAAAATAAGTTGAAAATTATTATCCTACAAAAGTAAGCTTGGTTGTAAAACGACTAGAATTAAAACTCTAAATCACTTGCCTATACTGACAGTGTGTTCTTGTTCTTTTCATTAGATATGGAGCTTTACAATGAAATCAGTCTGCTGCAAACCAGAGTTTAGGAAATAAATTTGTTCAATGGACCAATATAATAACAAATTCTGCTGGATGGTTTCGAAATCAATTATTAAGGTTTGTTGTTGTTCATGTTCAAATCGTGTTTTTAACTCCATTTTGATCATGGTTTTGCATTCCCATCCATAATGATAGAGCTGTAGAAAAATGTTTGATCAAACGGCTTTAGTTTATAATTTAGTTTTCCTTATTATTTTTCAAGTAATTTACAAAGAAAGTAATTGAAGTTTTATTTCTGTTTTTTTATGTAGTTATCTTAAATCAATGGAAGAAGGTGATTTGCTTTCCACGAAGCAAAATCATAGTCTTAAAAGAGATCCAATATGGAAATATGGAACTGAAGGACTAAATGATAAAGGCAACAAGATGATAACTTGTGTCTATTGTCAAAAAACATTTGCCGGTGGGGGTGTTAATCGCCTCAAACATCATCTTGGCAAAGTAAAGGGTAATGTGGCAGCATGCACCAAGGTTCCTCCGGAAGTTTGTTCTTTGGTCGTGGCTTTATTGAAAGATAATGCTCAAAAATCCAAAGAAAAAAAGGCTGATTTTGAAATTGAAAATGATGATCAAGAAATCCCGAAAGTCATTAATGAGACATCAACGAAAGGAAAAAGAAAAGCTGATCATGGCATTGAAGCTTATATGTCAGGTAAAGTTGCCAATTTTACCCAACCTAGTCTCAAGTCATGTTTGCAAAGTAAGGAGAAGTGTCATGATACTGATATGGCTCTGGCTCTTTGGTTTTATGAGGCTTGTATTCCATTTAATGCTGCTAATTCTATTTATTTTTGGCAAGCAATATCCAAAGTGTCTACTATGGGTCATGGATATAAAGCCCTTTCTTATCATGCACTTAGAGTTCATCTGTTAAATGAAGCAAGAAAACAAGTTGAATTGATTGTTGATGATTTTCGTAAAATGTGGGTGGAAACTGGTTGCACAATCATGGGTGATGGGTGGAAAGACCAAAGACAGAGGAGTTTGATTAATTTTTTGGTTTATTGTCCTAAGGGTGTTGCATTTATCAAGTCTGTTGATGCATCACATATTGTGTCTAGTGCTGAAAATTTGTACAACTTATTTTGTGAAATTGTTGACATGGTTGGAAAGGATAATGTGGTTCACTTAGTGACTGATAATGCAGCCAATTACAAAGCTGCTGGTAGGTTACTTTCTGAAAGATATCCACTTATAAGTTGGTCTCCTTGTGCTGCCCACTGTATCAATTTGATTTTACAAGATATTGGAAACATGCCTAAGATTGTAAGCTTGATTACTCTGGCCTCTAGAATCACTGTCTTTGTTTACAATCGTAAATGGATCTTAAGCTGGTTGAGAAAAATTCCTGGATGGAAAGAAATCATTTGGCCAGCTGAGACTAGGTTTGGTACTACATTCATAGCATTGAAAAGTCTATGTGACCGTAGAGTACACTTGGAAGCATTGGTGCTATCTTCAGAATAGAAGGCCAAAGAGTTAAAACATCAAAAAGGAAGAGATGTGAAGGAAACTGTTCTTAGTGATAAGTTTTGGAATAATTGTTTTGGAAACTGTTCTTAGTGATAAGTTTTGGAATAATTGTTTAGTGACTGTGAAGATTATGGGGCCATTGATGCGTTTGTTACTCATTTGTGATTCTGATGAGAGACCATCTATGGGTTACGTGTATGATGGAATGTGGAGAGCTATTAATGCTATCAAAGATCTTTTTAAGAACAGGAATAGATTGTATGAGCCCTACACTCAGATTATTGATAGTAGGTGGGATTCTATGTTGAAAAAAGATCTCCATGCAGCTGCTTTTTGGTTGAATCCAACTTTCCAATATGAAGTTGACAGTCGTTGTTTAATGTCCGATGCTTGGAAAGGTTTGATGGCTGTAATGGAGAAATTCAAGATTGAATGTTCTCAAGAAGTTATGAATGAAGTAATGATGTTCAGATCACTAAGTCAAAGCTTTGGATGTCCTTTAGCTAAAAATACATATGCCACTACTCCCCTAGGTACTTTCTTAAACATTTATTCTTTTCAATATAGTGCATATGTTAATTGTATTAGTTGTAATTTTATTATTTTTTTTGTCATAGATCAATGGTGGAAATATTTTGGAAATGATGCTCCCAATTTACAAAGATTGACAATTAAGTATTTGGGTCAAACAGCTTCCTCTTCAGGATGTGAGCGCAATTGGAGTATTTTTGAACGAATTCATACCAAGAAGAGAAATAGATTGGAGCATGAAAGGCTTAATACCCTTGTTTATGTTTGCTACAATCTTCGTTTGAAAAATAGGTATTGTATTGCAAATTTATAATATTCGATTTGGTTCTATCTATTTAGTTTGGTTTTTATTATTTGTAAAAGGTTTTCAAAAAGACCTTGTGATCCGATTGATTATGAATGTATTGACAACACGGAGTCTTGGGTCATTGAAGAAGAAGATGATGGACTCGTTAACGAGTTGGAGGAAATGATGGAAGAAGAGTATCCTAGGGATGGTGAAGAGACATTGAGTAAGAGTTTTTTTTTTTTTTTCCTTTCTTTGAATATGTTCTATGCGTTTTTCATCTAGGTATAATGTGAAAATGGAATATTTGTGTACTTGTAGGTAAAACAAAGAAGTTTGTGGTTCTTGATGAAGAAGATGATAGTGTTGTTGACATTTGCTCATCTAGTTTTTTTGAAGATGATAGAAATGAAGATCCTTATGATGATAGTTGTTTTGGTGAACCTAGAGTGTTAATTGGTAATGAATATGAATGACATAGTTTCTCAATTAAATTGAATACTCATGTTCATGACTTAGTATTCAATAAAATTAAGTTTTGAAGTGTAAATGCTTA